GCGAAGCTGCCTCTCAACTTCCTACCCACCGGCTTTGTTCGGCTTTGTTCCCAGCTGTAGATTTTCTGCACAAGGGTCTGGTTCCAGCAAAGGATGACACAAGTGTGACCGCTCTGCTGTCATACCCATTTGGCAGCAACAGATGTGTGGTGGTTGGTCTCCAACTTCGGCGCGATGTCAAAGTTGCCTCTCCCCTTTTTTCTTCAAGCTCTCTCGTCTTCAATGGGTTACAGTTGGTAGGCGCTGTGCACCTGCCTGGCTGTTCCACATAATGCAAGTCCCAGCGATCTAACGCGAGCTTCACTACCTAATGGGACACCAGGTGAAGTAGTTGTCTGCGTAGACCTTGTCTAGTCTCTGACCTTCTGAAGCGTCGGATGCAAGCTCCATCCACAACATCACCACAATCCAAGTTTCAGCAGCTGCGTCGTATCCCATTCGACACCTGCGCCTTTTGCGTACATATCAAAGCACAGATCATGCCAAGACTCCAGTTCTCACCCACCACGTTGAAACCCCCATGGGTTTGGCTTGCCTCGCATCCTATTCCTTGATGCTACTATATTCTCCCGTGAAAGGAATCCATAATCTCATCACACGAGGTTTTGTTCTTCTGGTACCACCTGCAGGCACTTTCTCTCTGAAATGTACAAGCCAGGGTCTGACTTTCCAGAGTTTGTCTTTCTTTCCCATCTCTGACACTGTCAAGTTGTTTACAAAATGTAACGATGTCAACAGATATTGGAATCTGTTGTGTGCCATCACATTAGAAACAGGGGAATACCGTGTGTCTGTCTCCCAATAGATAAAAACTCCAGACATTTGTACTAGGCCCATCTTCAGGTACATGCCAATCAGTTTCTCAATTTCCTTTGTATTTGTGTTGATGGATGTTCCATTCTTTTGAAAGCTGTACTCATTTGTGTTGGTTACCAAAGCCTGAATCATGTCTTCTGACACAAACTTCTGGAAGTACTCCAGTGGTGTGTGGAGGGAAATTACATTCTCTGTGATACCTTACACCCAAGTGTCCTAAAACATTTCAGAAAGAACCGTTTCTGCCAGAACCAGAGAAGAGTTAAATGAATTGTTGTAACTGATGAACTGATAAGTTACAAGTAGAGTTTAAAATATTGCTACAGATATAATTTCACATACTTTTATAGGAAATAAATGTATTAATTTATTCAAATCTGGTCTTAATTCAAAATCTTAACAGAGGATACATTTAGAACATAGTTATAGTGAATTATCAAAGATATTATATTTCTATTAGTGTTTTATTTCCATATGTTCACATATGGAAGGGACATTTTCATGACAGGGACACATGCTATTTTGACTACCACACTAACCCAGTGTTGTAATATTGCAACAAAGACATAAGCTGCTCAAAATCAAATTGATGAATGTATTCCACAAAAACTAAATATGCACATGTTCTAGACAATGTAATAATCGCCCAAACCTTTTTTTGAGGCATTTTACTTACTTGAATCGGAAAAATCCAGTCCAATAAAACAAAGAGATGTTGCTCGTTTGAAGATTCGTAAGTTGTGTGAGTGTATGGCCAGAGGGCAGGACCTATAAACTAGGGCTGCTCGATTATAACAAAAATCATAATCACGATTATCTTTGGTCAATATTGATATCACGATTATTAGATACATTGACTTTGAAAACATCCATTTATTGAACTTTAAAAAAATAAATTATAATAATTTGAACAGTATGTTTTTAATTTGATTACCCTGAACTTTAAGTATAATTCAACTGAAAAACCAATAAATAAATACAATTTAAATAATAATACATTTATATCTACATTTAAATCAATAATATCAAAAATAATAAATACCAATAAAGATAAACAAATATATTGGAGCGCACTTCCACAACCTATAACATATTTAAATATGATAACTAATGTCACTCACAACCTGTAATGTTTAATTATAGTGCTATACGCAGTACTCTTATTTTGGTAACCCCTTATCCGGAAACCGGAAGTAGCGAGCTAAGAGGCTTGACGAGTTAGTAAAAGTTGACTGTACGCTAGAGACCGGAGCATGGAGGACCGGAAAAATAAAGACAGGAAAACTAAAGCTTCCCTTGTAATGTGTTTATATGGATTTATTAAACAGACTGCAAGTCATAACACAACCTGGGCGAGAGGGCTTTTCGGGAGGGGCGAAAGTGCACGCGCGGGCAGGATGTATAACGCAAGACAAATACAGAGCATCATTGCAAAAGGGAATGCAGCAAAATAATCGTTTTATTTCGATTACTCTGTTTTCGCAATCGTTGCAAGCCAAAATCGTAACCGAGATTAAAATACGATTAATTGGACAGCCCTACTATAAACACATTTACTACCCAATAGCATTGTGAGGCTGAACAAAAGGACCTTTTGACTATGTAAATGTAGTCTTTAACAAAAAAAAACATTTACTGACTTTTTTAGGATAGCTTAAAGTAATTTTGTAAGGGTTAACTCAGGGTTAAGTAGATGTCTTGGCATAGCTCAAACTAAATCTGACATACCTGAACATAATTGTATATAATGTTTTGTTTTTACCCGATGATATTGGACTGTGGCATGGGAGGCCCTTTGTCCTTGAGCTCCTGGACATTGACCACCTGAGGCACGTTCTTCAGAGTGGACTCTGTCAAGGATGCACCGACAACAGCTGGAAAATAAAAACAATTATATTAAAAATAGAACATCTCAGACAGGTGATTTTGAATTCATGTTATGTTTCCACGGTGACTTTAGCACAGTTTGAATTAAATTAAAACAGTTTCAAAGTTATTGTCAGGTGTGATGGGGCAAGCCCTGTGCTGGGATGTAAAGCTATCAGGTTCACATGTTTTGTTCTGGCAGTATGTGTCTCCCCCTGGTGAATTGCAGTGTGCATGGCAATACTTTTTTTTACAAATAGCTTCTTATACACCATTAGAACATATTCTGTTCACATTTCAAAATAAAGAATAACTTTAAATTGCAGTCAAAAGCCGGTGACTGCTGCATGTTCTTCCTACCTGTCTTCTGATTGGCCATCTGTCTGCGTAGGGCGGCAGTGGCTGCAGCCTGCTGTGCGGGGACGCTCCTGTCAGTCGGGGGGGCTCCATGTTTCACTGTCTTTGTGGCGAGAGCAGTGCTATCAGCCCCGCTCAGGTTAATCTTATTGCTCGGAACTGAAACATCAATACAGAGAGCAACATTTATAAAACCAAGCATGTCTACTAGTTTTAAGCAGCTGCATTCTCTGACTTTGTTTACACCTGACATTAAACTGCTTTTTTAGTCTTCCAATAACAAGAACATCAGTTCACACCTGGCATTGGATTTGACTCTAGTGACACATTGTGATTGGATCTCAATTCCCCGCTCTATTTTCTAATTAACACATACATTATATTGGTGTGCAAAGACTAAATGTGCTTTTGTTTTTAACCGGCAGGAGGCAGCAAAGTGCTTCCCATGCAGAATTCAAAACAGACAGAGTCTATACCTTGCTGTGCTCCAGGCAGACCAAACACTCAAGAGGTTTGAATTACAAAATATATCTTTTGCAACTTTAGAACCACCGGAGACCAAAAGGAAGCACATTGGCTTTGAAAATATACTTTCCTCAATCAAACTACAAAAGATATATGGTCATATACATTGTACCACGGCAAGAGGTACGAGTGATGAGATATGGTTTAGTGGTTGTTAATCTTGTTTAACTGTCTGCTTGTACGCTCATCACACAAGACACATTTTACATGTGACATTTAAAATCTCATTGTTGTTAATGCCTGACAGCTCTAACAGTGTGATCTACTCACCAGGGCTGGCAATAGGGCTGAGTCCAAAGCCCAAACCCTGCACTGAGTGCATTTTGGTCAAAGGGGTGGACTGGATGGCCCCGAAGCCCGGCTGGATAGAGGGGGTCCTCACGACTGTGGGGTGGCGGTGGGTGGACAACGCTGGATGAAGGACAGAAAGGGGAAGGGGTGCCAACTGTAGCTCCTCTTCCTCCATCTCCAAGTCAGCTGGGTGGGGCTCCAGGGACAGGGAGGACGAAGAGCTCACATCGTCCAAGTCCTCGTAGTATTTAGGGGACAGGAAGGCTGAGCGGGACAGGTTGGCTGGAAGAGAATCGATGAAGAACATTTAGAACAGAAACAACGGTGCAACTATGGCTGAATGATGCTAATATTTTTAACACTGTAATCACGTCAACATCTCATCATGAATCTCCTCGACATCAAGAAGCTCCACAAATGCTGCATCTTGATAAGGTGTTTGAAGATTGGATAAGATTTTTTAATTTTTCGTGTTGCTTTTATTTTAGCGTATCTTGATACCTGATTTAACAGGTTGGCAAGTTGTGTCTTTACATTAATAAAAAATCAACTTTTAACCCTTTTAAAGTGAATATTATTCATTTTTCTTTGACTGACAGGTATTTTTTCATTCAAACCTTTATTGAACCAGGTGGTCCCATTGATCTCTTTTTCAAGGGAGACCTGTCCAACATGGCAGCAAGTAGGTAACAACATGAACATATAACAGATCACACAAAAGGACATCGTATTTACAGGGCTACATTTACATACCTAGAGACATTGACAAGTACCAACATTATCAAGTATCATTGCATCTATCCGAGCTTTAAAAACAGGAAGTGGAACCAATTTGCTCAGTTTCAAATATTTTTGAAGACTGTTCCAAGCAAGAGGAGCTGCGCACATAAAAGCTTTCTTACCTAAGTCAGTCCTTGCACTTGGCACATGTAACAAAACCACATCATGTGATCTCAGGCAATAGCTACCTGCAANCAGTGCTGCTCGTCTACCGGAGTTTATTCTCCCGTTAACTCGAGGGCAGCGGCCGCTGTAAAGTATTCACTGTCTGACTGTCACACAAGCAGCTGATAAATATCTTTATCAGCTGCTTGTGTGACAGTCAGACAGTGAATACTTTACAGCGGCCGCTGCCCTCGAGTTAACGGGAGAATAAACTCCGGTAGACGAGCAGCACTGCAGCAGGCAGTAATGCAGCTGAAACACATTAATAAACAATGCACCACGGCACTCTGGAGAAAGGTATAAGGTTGGAGTAGTTTTTGGCTTCGTATGATTAAAAACTAGCCGACGCAGTCCTCTATTGATGTTGTTCTGAGCGGCGTTGCGGAGAAAATCGGCGACGTAAAACACTGTGTGGGTCATAAGAAGGCACGTAAACGGTTACGTCATGACGCAAACGATGACGCAATAATTCACCTTTGAACCTAATTCACCTTTGAACCTGCATCTGTAACAATGAGTGGACCAAAGAAAAGAAAAGTCGACAATGAGTGCCGAAGTGCTAAATATTTTTTCACAATCTGCTACTGGCCCGGCCCGTCTGACACATTTTAAAACTCATAGTGGCCCCCGAGCAAAAAAGTTTGCCCACCCCTGAGCGTTAGCCAAACTATCTTAAAGTTTGTTCTTGTTTCTTTTGGTTGTATTTGGCAGCCAATAACTTAACTATGGAATACAAATAAAGACTCTGAGCAGGCACAACAGCGCCGGAGAAATGATCAACTCGGCTTATTATACAACATGTTGTGAACGAAAAACCATCTCCATATTTGTACACAATTTTTGGTATAGTTTTTAGGCATACAGCCTCAAACTCAACAGTTTGATCTGGATAGTGTTAGCTAGCAACTTAGCCGAGGCTAGCGCTGTGTTTGCAGCTCAACTTTCACATCAGCTCCACACTTAAACTCCCAGGAGTAGCTACATTGTTTGTTTCAAACATAACAAATCTTCAAGTATTAAAGTTTACTTGAAGGTTATGATATCAAACTTACAATTTAAACATTTTACAATAACAAGTACAGTTCTATAATATGTACCTGTTCTGTTATACAGCACCTTATAATTTCCTTACGCTTTGTATACATGTAGGGCCCGAAATACACATTTAAAATTAATAAAAGCTAAAGAACCTGCGATCTGCCTTTAAGACTGTACTTAGTAGGTAAACAAAAACCCATACATCCGCGCTACATATTTTAAACAGCTTGAAAGACTTAAATAAAATAAAGACAGAAATAGTTATTTTAGATTGTACCCCTAAGTAGTTTTCACATGTATTCTTTTTCCTCAGGTGATTCCTGTGGACAGTCGGGGGGAGTTCCTTCTTGCTGCTCTCCACACCCCTGCTTACACGACGTGGAGCCACAGAAGTGAAAGCCTCCTCAGCCTCCTCAGCTTTCAGGAAGATGATGATTCTGTGTGTGTGCATTCATCCACTGAGGATCTTGGAAGAAAGGTCAGTATCTCTATCATCAATTCTACCAAACAATAACTCTGTCCATCTGTGTCTTTTGAGGTTTTCAATTGTGGTCAACCACATTACAGTGTGATGCAGCAGGGTGATAAGTCCATGACTTTTTTTTTACGGTATTTAATCAAACCAAACGTTCAAAGCTATATAAGTATTCAAGATTTAAAGATACATCTGATGAATGAGGCAAAGACTGCAATGTCTCTCCACACCTTTGTTATTAAAATGGCAGAAAGTGCTTTTTACATGACAAAATAAAACATTTTGGGCGTTTTACTCCTCTCTGTTTTGTCTTTAATTTTCAGTTTACGATACGATACGATATACTTTATTGTCCCCGTAAGGACATTTTTTCTGGACTCCGTCCTGCAGTTCCGCATACATGTACATATACAAACATAGTGGACATTAAGAGACATACACATATTAAGTTTGATCCAAACCTAAATGTCATGAGTGCCAACTGGTGCATGATGCTTTCATGATTAGCAAATACTCATTGGATGAAATGAGTACAATTTAACAGATGTAATAACCTATATTTTAAGGTGTGGAAAGATCCTCAAAGACATCACCTTGAACAAGAATGGACATTTGTTGCTATTTTCTGACATGATCCTAGATCAAATGGTTATTGTATTACTCTAAAATGATTGTTAGTTACTGCCCTGTCAGCCAGATTTGTATAGTTTGCTACATCTCTGTTCATGTAATTCAGAGCAATGCATCCTCTCTTGTCAAATCTCTCTCTTGATTCTTTAGTGGACATTCTCCCGGGTGGTGGAGCCCTCTGTAGCCATGTCTAAAGACAAGGCCTTCTCCGTTGCTATGGCCCTGCCCATGCCTTGCTACGGCTCCCTGGCGGATGACCTCTCCACCGTGTTCCTGCAGAGCAAGGAGCGGATCCCATTCAGCCAGAATGAGTGCAGCGCTCAGCACGTCGCCCAGCAGCTCACCCTCCTGCAGCAGGTACACAGCTCCACATCCCCCTCCCTTACTTCTTTAACACATACACTGTATACATTCTGCGTATGTATTTATTATTGCATTAAGCAGTATTCCAATATCACTGTACAGTATCACATTTTACATTCAATTAATTTTGCATGTAGATTACTTAATTCTGCATTTACTTCAACATTCTCTTTCACTATTACATTGTTATTTTTACTTTTACTTTATTTGTTTGTATGTTATTCTATTTCTATTCTATTTATTCTTGCACTATTTTATTTTTATTATTTTTATTTTGAATTACTGTTATTAGTATTGTATGTATATTTCTTCTTGCACTATTTCATCTATTTTATTTTATTTTATATCTTTTTTTATTTTATGTTATTTATTTTTCTTCTTGCATGAATCTTTATTTACTTTAACTTTCAATATATATATAGCTGTAATTCAATATCATTTAAATGTTTTATTTAATTCTTATGTGTATTTTTATTTCTATTTCCTCTTGCACTATTTTTTATTTGTTTTTGTCCTAATTATATTGAATGTTGCGTGATTGGAGAAGTCTGGGACTTTTCATAGCCAAATGATGCTGTAGCTATTGTGCATTTAAAGCATTAAAACCTTGAACATATTAATCTTTAAGTTGTTGTTGTTGTTTTTACCTCTTTTCACCACTAGAGGGAGACATGCCTATATGCATACAATAACCTCCTGGTCCAAAACTGAACTTTGTTTTGTAGGAAATGTTCCAGGGATGTCATCCAGTTCATTTCCTCAACTCCAGAATTCAAGGAGTCCGGGACAAAGTCTCCGCCCCAAACAAGTGAGTATAATGTTCCAGCCTTACACATTATATTTCATTTGTCCTTTCATCCAAAGTGACAAACAAAAAGTGCGATCAACCTCCAAGCTTTTTATTATATAACAAATCTCAAGTGCAACACAGAACACACAATATCATACAGTATAGGAATCATTCTATTATATACATTGTAAATAAAATATGACAAAGTATCCTTAGTATTTCATTTTTTTTTAGGTAAAGGGAAAAAAGTGAATAGAAATATATATATATATGATAATGCAAAAAACTAAATTGTCATTTACTAATGGGTTGGACAATAGAACATCTACCTTCGGAGTTATTCTTCAAATAAATAAATTGTATTGTTAAATAAATCAAAAGAAATACATGTGGTAGAAAAGAGAGTATTCTGTTTTATATTCCAGTTAATTTAATATATTTCTACTTTTACTTGAGTTAAATATCTTCTTCCACCAGTGATCATTTCTAGTAAACAGTTCCCAGATCACTGTCCCCCCTCTCCAGCAGGAATGTGTCTCAGCACGGTCCCCCAGCAGAGGGCGGTGGTCTCCCTGTGTGTGAGGAGCCCCCCTCAGACAGCTTCCTGCAGCAGCTGCTCTCATACGCTGACAGTGTGGCTAACTGGATCTCTGCTGAAATAGTCATCTGTGACTCGGCCAAGGTGAGAGGAGAGAGAACGCAGGGAAGTGATGGTCGCTGGGAAATAAAAACGGACAGCAGCCAGACGTTCAACATGTGTCTGTTGTCTCCTGGTTGAATAGTTCATACACAAAGAACTGATCACATGGGTATGAAACCCGGAACAATTCTCTTGTATGTTATATATTGCAGTAACATGTGCAGATTTGTATTTGTGTTTATATAAATACTGTGTTTTTCTGGACATGTTTGTATCATTTTCCTTATGTAATTATCTTCTATTGGACATTTTAATTAACTTAAGTTTAAATATGTGTCTTCTATCTTATTTTTTATTTATCTTTTATTGGAAATGTTACCTTCCTATGATTTGATGTTTATTTAAATATTCTTATTCTCTTTTTTT